TGCCACAGGGTCATCAGGGAAGTGAGGGGGCAGGGCACAGTGGGTTTGAGGAAGCAGGCTCCCCCTCGCAGGGAGGTGGAGGTGTCTCCCTCTGTAGGGGTGTGGGGGCTCAAAGGGTGCTGGGCTGCAGGTCTCCCGGCTCCCAGGAGGTGGCCATGCCATTGCCCCAGTGAGCTCTGATGACCTTAAAGCAGGAGGAGGGAGAGGGAGCAGGGCCCTTTCCCTGCGTGTGAGTGAGACAGCCTGCTCTTGTCCCGGCCGGCCGGCCGAGGGACACGGTGTCCAGGGCGCCGGGGCCTGTGACCTCAGGCAGTAGAGCCGGGGAGCAGGATCCCAGCTGTTTCAAACCACCGTCCCCCTGACATTTGCGTCAGCAGCTCTGCCCTTTGACTTTGAATTCCCAGGAGAGGAGGGTGGAAGCAACCTTGGCGATCGGGACTGATTATTTGCAATTTGATTCCACCAGCAGTTTATTGGGGTTTGGCCTGGCTTCCTGCCCTCCTCTCAGCCTCTCACACCCCGCTTCACGGCCAGGTCTCCTTTGGAAGCCGGGAAGAACAGAGGGCAGGCGTGGTTCACCCTGGAGACACCTGTCCCCTGGTCCCCTGATCTCAGAGTGCCCGGAGGAACCTAATGCTTATAAAGGCGCTTGGAGTCCGATAGAGGTACCCCCTCACCCAGCCCAGGCCCTGTGCGCTCTCAGGCCAGCCTCTGAGTCCACTTGGGCTTGTCAGGACATGCCCCAGAGGACTGGCCCGGAGAGGGGGTGTCAGCCTCTCAGCTTCTTGGGTTGTGGGGGGTATGCAGCGCGTGATGGGGCACAGCATGGGGGTGGGGAGAGCAGGCTCCGAGGAGCCGGCAGGGCTCCCCAGCCCCGGTCGCTGGTGGGTGTCTGATGTCACTCTATATTTGGCCATGGTAGCACAGACATGCCCTCTCCAAGGGGCGGGGAGACAGGCGGCCGGCCCATGACGTCTTCAGCAATGGCCTGGACTATTTTGGAACCAGCCTTGGGGGCTAGACAAGGCAGAAGTGGGGTGTAAGGGAACATTTCCTCCTGGCTCCCAGTCCAAGAAGAGCTGAGAGTGTGTGGCATGGAGAACTGACCCCGAGGCTTTTCTCCGAATTCCCAGTACAGTTGCTCGAATGTTCTTTCTGCTCAGGTTTCCTGGGGATGCCTGGCCTCTGGGGCCGCAGCAGCTCTGCCTGGGCAGGAGCCCCAACCTTTTCTCCCCTTGGGAGTTTTCCAATGTTCAGCTATCATTGTCCCTCACATGTAACAGCCCCTCCACGCCAGTTTCCACCGAGAGCCACGGAAGGAGCCAGCTCCGCGGTTCCGACTTCAGAGTTTCTCAGGTCACTAACGTTTCCAGAAGCAACGTGGGCTCTGACATGGTCACCAGTGTTCTAGTTTGCTGAGTTCAGGACATCAAAACGAAGTGTCACACGCACGGCGCAGGTGAAAGGACCATCCTTTGGACTGAGTAGCTTTACGGACACCTTCCTCTTCTGTCCTTATTTTTCTCATTCTGTCGGGGGCAGACGAGAACATGTCAACACCTGGCATGAGACACCTGCCAATAATGGTCTCGTGCTCCGGGACCTGCTGTTGGCTTCTACCCTCTTCCCTGGGCCCAGTGCCAAGGGCAACCAGTGCAGCCTGGGGACCCTCCCCAGCACTGTCTCCAGCTCTCTCACGTACTGGTCATTTTACTTCTTTCTTTTTTTTTTTTTTAGATAGATATTTTTTGCTATAGGGCACATGCACCTACTAGAGAGACAGAGACAGACAGCGAGACAGAAATAAATCACCCCCTGGGGGGATGGCCATGTCACACTCTCTTCTCCATTCTCCTCTCAGGATTCTGGGCATGCACGCACTCGCACCCAGCATGAGTTTTAAGCCTCCAGGTCCGGGACTTGAACCGCAGTCGACTCCGTGGGAGTCCGGCCACGTACCCATTATGCCATCTGCTGCTCCCTCATCGTACTTCTTTCTCTCTCCTATCCACACCTCTCCCCAGTATGAGCACAAAGGCAGGTGGAGCGCAGCACGCACCTGGTGCCCGGACAAGGCAGCAGATCAGTTGGTGGCTGGGCTAGGTGACTGCTGCGGGACAAGTCGCCCTGAAGTCACATGGTCGGGCTCCTTTGAGAAGGTGCCGGGTCTGCATGGTGGATGGGAGTGCGGAGCCTCTGCCACTTCTGGCTGTGCCAGCTGGGACCCAGAGCCTCCCTTCTCGAGCTTCAGTTTCTTGTTCTATAAAATGGGTGTATTGACGCCTCATCACAGGGCCAGTGTGAGGGTTAAATGAGAGGCTGTTTGTGAAAGTACTTTGTGAGCCATAAAGCTCAGGTTGGGGCAGTTATTATTACTATGGGAAACTAGTAAATGGCTGAAGAAAGAGCAGCCCGAAAGCTGATCTCAGCTTTTGAATACAAAGACAGTGCTCACACCCACCCCTGGCCTGTGATCTGGGGCCCTGCCACCCCTACAAAGGGCAGCGCCAGCCGATCCTCATCCTCGTGAGGCAAGGAGGCCTGGGCCAGACCGAGGTTTCCTGCTCTGAACGGGAGCTGGCCCCGGGCTCCTGCGGGTGGAGGGATGACCTCGAGGCAGCAGTTCCCACTTCCTGGTGGTTGCCCCTGCACGGTTCTCCACGCTGACTGCCCCCACATGCAGGGAAGTGTGTGGAGAGCCTGCCCCAAAGGAGCCCCTTCTGGGTAGGCTGAGGTCTGAGATTCCAGGTAGGCCCAAGGCCTCAACTTCCAGGTGTTCACAGAGCTGCCTGCCTTGTTTTGTTTTCCTGCTGGAAGGCACATGTATTCACCAGAGAGACAAGAAACAGTGAGAGGGAAAGGGAGAAAGCTCCCCCAGGGGGAATGGCCACACCACAGTCCCTTCTCCTCCATCTCTTCCACTTTTCGAGATTTGGGACACACACATACCCAGTGTGTTTCTCAAGCTGCCCAGTCCAGGACTCGAACCATGTGGTCAGCCGTGTGAAATCTGGCTGCCTTATCCACCAGGCCATGGAGCTGAACCACAAAGCAGTTTTGTGAGCTCCCTCTGCCCCACTAGGTCGCCGTGGGGACGTGCCAATACATATTCCCAGCCCAGTCCCGCCAAGTCACTGCGTGGCTGCCCTCCAAGCCTCAGTTTCCTCATCTGTAAAACGGGGGCTGCTGTGAGCCTCTAATGGCCCAGATGGGAAAGCTCTGGAGGGCACTCAGTCCCTGCCTGCCCTCCCAGGAGGCCCCCACAAAGGGAACAAGGTCTCCTGAAGAAGCAGCTTCTGCCCTGAACAGCGGCCCTGGGGCAGATTCTTCATACCACGGGGCTCTGGCTCCCCACTCCCTGTTCCCCCCAGCTGCTCAGCAGCCAGTTGTCATGAAGTCATTGTCACCTTCCCCAGCCTGCACCCCTCCCCCAAGGCCTCCGTGCTGACAACCCATTTGGCAAAGAGGTCAGGAAAGCCGCTGACTCTTCCAGACCCTGAGTTCACTGACTGGTCAGGGCCCGCTGGCCAGAAGCTGACCAAAGGGTGGAAGGGGTTTTGCAGAGTGAGGGAAAGGCCCCTCTAGGCCTGCACCCAATGCCTCGAGACACTCCTCCAACACCCACCCCCACCCCTGCATACACTCACCTGGCCCTACACACCTGGGACCCACCCTGCCTCACACCCACTCCATACTGGCTAAACACGCTCCCCTCTGCACCCCCCACTAAAACACACCCTCCGTCCCACACGCAGCCACCTGCTCACACTCCCACACACTCACATCTGCGTACCTGCCACTTCCTCACACCCTGACCGGGCTGTGGGCCACCACCAGCTACCATGGCCACGGCCACTTCTGACTCCACCCCGGTCTGTCCCTTCGGGCCTCTTAGGCCCAGGGGGATGCACCCAGGCTGAGCCAGACTCAGGGTGGTAGGGTCGCTGGTCTCTGGACCAGAACCACAGGTGCCAGAGCTGCATGGGCTCATCTCGGCCACCCCCTTCATCCTCATTCATGGACACCAGGCCCAGCAAGGGCCAGGGGATGGTTCAGCTCCACAGCCAGGGTTCTTCTGAGTGTCCCCATGTTCCCATGTGGGCAGGAGGGGAAGCAGCAGCTGGGCTCCTTCCGCCCTTGGCCAGACCCTACCCCCTGGCTTCCTCCAGGATGACTTCCAAGGTTGGGTGCTGGGTGAGACTTTCACCCTCTGCCCTGAGGACAAGGTCGTCGAAGCTGGACGGGAGGTGGGGGGGATGGCGGGGGGTGGGGGCGCCCAGTTGCTGTTGACCATAGCTTTTGCAGCCTTGGGATGTCAACAGGTCTTGGCTGTCCTCAGCAAATACTCAGCCCAAGGCCAGCGTCCCACAGTGAGCCTGGCCCTCTGGCTCCCGGGTCAGTCCTGGAAACTCACATCAAGACCCTCACAGCTGCCTGGATCGTGGCTCCAGCCAGGGGCCCCCAGGCTTCAGGGATGGGCTCCTTCCCCTAGACTGTCAGCTTCACAGGGTAAGGAGTGTCCCCTGCACTCGTCCCTGGCACCCGGTAGGTGCCCAACAAAAAAGCGTTGAATACATGAATGGCCCGTCTCTCCACCCTGGCTTCTTTTCACAAGGCTCCTCCAGACCAACCAGGCAGTTCTGGGATGCAGTGGCAACACCCCTAACCTGCGGGCAGTGGGGGGGGGGGGCAGGTCCTCTGACCGACTGTGAGACCCTGTTCCAGTCACTCCCCTCTCTGCTCTTCCCAGGGCTGCCACCTAGAGCTGAGGGGCTGCTGCTTGGGACAATGCCATGAGCCCATGGTCCCAAAGACCACACCTGTGTGGGTGCTCCAGGCACCAGGAGGGTTTTCTGGCCCTGGTTGGCCAATGGCACCCTTTGGGCAGACCCCGCTGAGCAGCCCTCTCCTATAAATAAAACTGCCACCCAGAATAGACCAGAACATTTGCAACCTGGGAAGCGATGGAACAAGAGTAGTTCTTGCACCTCCCCCCAGCCGCACCCCACTCCCCCCAACTCACATGTGGACAGAGCAGACTCCGGGTCAACATCCTGCTTCCTGCAGGGCCCTCCCTGCGGCCCGCGCCGGGGAGGGCGCACAGAGGGGTGTTTGTTCGCAGTGGGCAGCGGGCAGAGGCTAATCGCCCGGGATCCCAGGCCCAGCTGAAGGGCAGGAGGTAACGCGACCCGCCGTTATAAATAACCGCGCCGGCTGGGAGGCAGCGGCGGCCCGGGCTGGATCCGCGCCCCTCGCGGGCGGCGGGGCACGGATTGATTACTGCCCTCCTCTGGCCCCCGACAGCGGGAACCTGAACCCCAAGGCAGCCTGAGCGTGGTGACCTTTGGGGATGGTGCGCAAGAACAGCCCAGGCCCCTGGGCTTCCCTGGCCCCGTGAGCGCCGTGCCCACTGTGCTTTGCTAGAGCAGAAGGGGTGGGGGCACGGAGTACAGACAGCCTCACCCTCACCGCCACGCCCCTCCCAGGGCCCAGGTGGAGAGAGGCCGAAGGCCATAACCCAGGGACCCAGGCAGCCTGTGCCCCTGAACTCTCGCCTCCACACCAAGCCTCCGCCCAGCTGCACTCACTCAGGGCAGGGAGGCCCAGAGTAACCAACCCAGCCCGGGAAGGCCCGCCTGCAGCCTGCCCGCCCTGCTGCTAGCCCAACTGTGAGGGGAGGGTCTCTGGTGGCACCCGCCAGGGGCCAGCTCCTCTCCCTCTCCCTCTCCTTCTCCCTCTCTCTCTCCCTCTCTCTCTCCCTGTCCCTGTCCCTCTCCCTCTCCTTTTGGGCAGAAAAGGGAAATGGATTTAACCTGCTCCAAGAGACAAGCCTTTTATTTTAGAATCACTTTTGCTGGCGTTGCACACACACCAGCCCCTGTACAAATCCCAGTGCGGGTCTGGATGAATCTGCAGGAACTGACACCATGCAACAGCACCAGGTCTAAGCAGCACCTCCCAGCACCCGGATGTCCCCCAAGGCCCCCTGTACTCACTACCCCTGCAGGGGAACTGTCCTGCTGACTCCCACGTCAGCATCTCAACTGCCAGCCAGTGTGGCCGTGCCCTCCGACTCACCCACCTGGTTTCTTTCGCTCCATATAAAGTTCGAAGCTTTGTCCATGCTGTCAGAGGCTGGCTGTCCTCATCATTGTCCGCCTGCCATTGTGGGACTCTGTCATAACTTATCCACCCTTTTTACTGTTGATGGGCATGTGGGTAGGCACCAGTTCCTGGCCATGGGGAAGAGGGGTGCCATGACATTCTCGCTTCTGTATATCGTGAACATATGGAGTGCATTTCTGTTGGCGTACCCCTAGGATGGGGATTGTGGGGCTTGGGGGTGGGTCTGTTCAGCTTTGGAAGATACTGGTACTTTTTCTTTTTTTAGAAAAAAAGAAAAAGTACCAGAAAGGCAGAGAGAGACAGAGAGGTAGAAAGTGAGAAATCACTCCCCAGGGGGGATGGTCACGCCGCAATCCCTTCTCCTCCATTCTCCTCTCGGGATCTTGGGCACGCACGCACACGCGCCCGCCGTGAGTTTAAGCCACCGGGTTCGGGACTCGAACCATGGTCGACTACATGGTAGTCCAGCGACATAACCATTACACTAACTGCTGGTCCCAGATACTGTTACTTTTTAACTAATATTTCACTAAGTTTTGGGGTTTTATTCTAAAAAAATAGATGTATATTAACTTTAAAAAATGGGAAATAATGAGCCAACCCTGAAGCCTCATGGTTAACGGGACCAGATCCCACATGACCATCCACAGTACAAATCACAGCCCTGGTAGCTTGAAATCATGCTGGGTGTATGTGTGTGTGCGCCCCAAATTGCAGCGGGATGGGAAATGAAGAAGGGACTTTGGCGTGCCTGTACCCCACTGGGATGTGCGCTCTCCCTCTCTGTCTCTGGGAAGCACACTACTCTGGCGATTTTAAAAAAAGGAAATACAGAAATGTACATGAGAAAGAAGAATCCTCCACAGCTTCTATTTAGTGTCAACCATTCAACCACCCAGTCAACGGGCACTTTCTAAGGGCCTCTTCTTATCAGATCCCAGACAAGAGACAGTTCCTCCTTCATGCAGTCTAGAGCCCGGGGCCCAGTCAGCAGTGGCCCCGCCAAGGGACAGACCAGAGGGCCTCAGCACAATTCGTGACTGCCCCTTCCCCACCACTGTACGGTGGTTCCCGTAGACATCCAAGCTGAGAGTCTCCAGGACTCAGAAGAGAGGCCCAGGCTGCACCTGGGGCCCTCGGGATGGGCAGTTTGGGTAGCCGTACACAGTTAACAGCGGTCACGGTCACGTAGCAGAGGGCTGGAGCCAGGAGGGCAGGCATCCAGGAGTTAACGGCTGGTCCAGACGGGAGCTCTCAGGAAGAAGAAAAGGTTGAGGGGTGAGGCTGGAGAGGTGTGGGCCAGAGGCAGATGCACCCGGACCTGGGACTTGATCCTGAGGGCTGCTGTGGGCGTGTATGCTGGGAGTGTGCACATGGCATACTTTTCCAGCAAGACCATTCCGGATGCCTTTGGGAAGTGGACAAGAGCAAAGGCCAGAGACCTTTGGTGGCTCTGAGCTGATAAGCCAGGAGGGCAGTGGCCTGGGGGGAGGGAGGAGACTATGAGAGGCGAGAGGGAGAGGTGTGGGAGAAGGACAGGGCTGAGCTGCTTGGCTGGGCTGGGCTGGGAGAGGAGGAGGTGCCAGGAAGGTGGGAGGCTCCCTACAGAGGGCATGGGGAGTTGCAGACAGGGCAGAGGGTGCAATGGGCCCCTGCAGGTTCCAGTGAGCTGCTTCCCCATCTCTGTCACCACAGGACATCCACTTTGGGTTGAGCAGTTCTTTTTGTTTGTTTTGTTTGTTTGTTTGTTTGTTTTGGAGAGGTTTTTGCTATAGGGCGTCTGCACTCACCTGAGAGGCAGAGAAAGACAGACAGAAAGCGTTCCCCAGAGGGCATGGCCACACCGCAATCTCTTCTCCTCCACTCTCCTCTTGGGATCTTGGGCACGCACGCACATGCGCCCGGTGTGAGTTTAAGCCACCAGGTCTAGGACTTGAACTGCGGTGGACTACATGGGCGTCCAGCGATATAAATATTATGCCGTCTGCTGGTCCCTGGGCTGAGCAGTTCAAGAGTCATGTTGGTTGGAGCTCAGAAGGGTGGCCTGAGCTAGTCCCAGGGCACCCTGAGAAGTGACAGATGGTCTTTCATTCACTCAACAAGTGTGAGTGGAGCAACCGCCTGTCTGGAGGGGGTACTTCGGTGGGCAAATCAACAGCCTAGTCCACAAGGAACACGTTCTAGTGGGGAAGACTTACATAAATATAAAGTGGTGATAACCTTACGGAACTGTCAGCCGGGTGGGGGTGGTGACTGGTGGGAGTCTGTTTCAGATAGCGTGGGCAGGAAGACCTCTCTGAGGAGGGACTTCTGGGCGGAAACCAGAGGAAATGGAGGAATTAGCAGGGGGAGGAACGCTGTCCAGGTAGAGGACACAGCGAGTGCAAGGGTCCCGAGGCAGAAGGGTGCTTGGTATGTGGGAGGCCTGGGCCAGAGGAGGAGCTGGAGGGCGAAGGGAAGATTGAGCAGGGCCCAAGGTAAGACTATTCCCCCTAGCAGCCGAGGGTTTGTGAAGGAACGATCTGACTTTTTTTTCTTTTAATTTGTGATACAGCATGCGCACACATGGGCACGAGAGAACGAGGCGGGGGAGAGAAAGTACCCGCCACAGGACTTGGTCACACCACGAACCCCTTCCTCTAGTCCTCCAGCCCCCTGGGGTCCTGGGAATGTGGTCGACATGTTTTTTTTTTTTAATTTTTAAAAAATAATTATTTTTTGTTCATTTTATTTATTATTCACTTTATTTTCATTTGACCAGAGAGAGAGAGAGAAAGTGAGAAAGCAAGCTGCCAGGTCCGGGACTTGAACCGTGGTCAGCCACATGGGACTGTCCGGTGCCCTAGCCACCACACCACCTGCTGGTTGACATGTTTTCAGGTCATCCGGGCTAGAGACTTGAACTTCCCTCTGCATGTGGTTTCCAGCTCTGCCTTCTGGCAGGCTACTGACCGGAGGCTGGCCCTGACTGTGTTTTTGTTTGGCCAGGATCACCCTAGCTGCTCTGAGGGGGACAGACTGTGGAGGGCAAAGTGGGAGGAAGCTCTTCTGAGGTGCAAGGCAGGGAAGTGGGGCCTGTGCCCTGGGGAGGGGGCAGCACAGCGTGAGGTGTTCTGATGGCACACAGATCTGAGGGTGGAGCCCATGGCATTCGCTGAGGGACTCGATGTGGCCCAGGAGGAGGGAGGCGGCAGGGGGCTCCGGCTGAGGGGGCGCTCCTCTGTCCTCTCCTCCCTCTGCTTTCCCCGTTTCAGGAGTCCAGTGACTTCATGCTGCCACCTGCCACAGGTCATGATGCTGCCCTCCGGATGCTGCCCTCCGGATACGTCCCTCATTCACTCGGCAATTCCGATGACCATGGCTAGGCCCAGAGGTCCCTCCCCGAGAGAGGGGCTCCCACCGGGGCAGCAGCTCGGTGGGGGAGAAAGCCCAGTCCTCCCTGCAGGGTCCTCCCATGCTCTGCCCCGGACGGCTGTGGACAACCCTGGTATAAAGCAGCAGCAGGTCCTTAGGAAACTGACCAAGCTGCTCACGTGGCAATTGCTCCCCTCCCCGGGACACGGGGATGCAGGGCCTGCCCTCCCAGGTGCTCCAGGGCCAGCTCCAGAACCGCCCACACTGGATTCAGGCCGAGCGGCACCAGCCCACACAGCCCAGGCCATGGCCTTGGGACCAGGGAACAGGTGGCTGGGAGGCCGTTCTCACTTCTCATCTCCAGCCGCCTTCGCCCCTGACTCCAGACCTAGACACAGCCGCCTCCTCAGCACCGCCGCTCGCATGAACGCTGGTTGTCTCCAACTTAATGGGGCCAAAACCTGACCTCCTGACAGCCACCCCCTCAAACCTGCCACTCCTCCTGTCTTCTCCCCACTCAGCCACACTGCCCCCTTTCAGATCATGCCAAACCTCAGCTCACCTCCTACGCTCACCCCACCTGCAGTCTGTCAGCTCCCCCTTCGGAGCAGCTTCAGGGACAGAGCCCCTCGCCCACCCAGTTTCAATCACCCGATCTGAGCCGCCATTAATGCCTTTGGATCCTGCCCTCGCCCCCCATTTAATTCCCAGCACGTTAGCCTGAGTGATTTTATTAAAAGGTGGCTCAGATCGGGTGGCTTTTCTGCTTCTCTGCCAACTGAGAAGCCAGCTTCCTCTCTCTGGCCCCTGTGCCAGCGGCACCTCCCTACCTCCCGCATCACCTCCCACCACGCTGGGCAGCTCCAGCCCCACTGGCCCCCTTGTTCCTCCATCACACCACACACGCCGGCCTGGGGCCTGTGCAGTGGCTGCTCCTTCTTTCCAGAACGGCCTCCTGCAGTGTCTGTGTTTTGCTCCCCTCCTTTTCCAGGGCTCCTCTCACACGCTGCCTTCTCAGAGAAGCCTTTGTTAACTATCGTGCTCAGAATTTAAGTCACACCTAGGGCCAGCTG